GCGAAACACTCCTTAATTTTTTTTCAATGTGTTGCACCAATTTTTTTCTCACGCAATTTTTATGAGTAATAAAGCACGTAAAGAAGCATAACATATATTATTTTCGTGGTTGTAAGTCTCAGGGAACACGAAGAAAAAATTATGATTTACTTATTTTTTAATTTTTTTTATATATAAAGTTACACTAAAAATTTGAAAAAAATATATGATATACTCTGTAATGTACTCTTAAGACTCGCATTGGTCTCAACTCTCTTGCTTAATTAGTTTTTGAGATATATGACTTTGAATAAAAGTCATGCGTACGGTTATTTTTCCCCATATCTCAAGGTCAAAGCGAAAGTTAGCCGCGAAAAGTACATAAATTGTTTTTGTACATCAAGGCGATACTAAAACATAAGTTTCAATATAGGTTCCCATTTGGGGGCTGACTCGTAATACTTATCCGGCTAAACCCTTTAGGTACAACATTGATCTTATTTTACTTATGTTGATTTATACTTTAGATACAGTATCTACTAACGGCAATGAACTTAAATTACCTGAGAAGAGGCAAAGAGTTGATCACAAAATAGCCAAATCAGTTCCACCGTTTGATTTCGCCCCATGCAGAATGACATTCCCAATAATACAGCATAATGAACTCCAAATAAAGGAACCAACACAAGCGTTGACCTTGCCCACTTTTTGTATCGTTGGGCTTCCGCATTAAGCGATGATCGTAGTTTTTTCATAATCATTGCTGTTATTTTTATGAAAAGTACAAAGTTTACCTAGAAGCGCATGTAACTATATTTTGTACCGTTTTATAACATGTACCTACTTACCAGTATTGATATGATAACAGGTATACTTAAAATCAAAAAAGTCATTTTTTCGTCATCATGAGTCGTCCAGCAAAAAGTATCTTCTGTAGTTGCTCTAGTGATAGCCCATGGAATAATCACCAATGCAGGTGTACCTTTAAATAAAAACTTTCGTCGATGTATACAACAAAATAATCAATATACGTATACAGATATAACAGCGGAAAGGTGAACAAATCAATTGCAGAACTTTTACGCCTGTTGTCATCTAATGTAGAAATGATGTTATTGGGCCTAGTACACAACAATCGATGGTACAAATATCTATCAGACGTTTCCTCTCCGATTGTGAATGAATGAAGTAAGAATTTCGGAAGGGGTCAGAAGGAGGTGTGCTTCTCGATATGGTAAAGGCTCAACAGATTTGGTTAAAACTTTTACAATATCGAATCATATCTTATGATCCCCTGCCGTTTGCCGAGCATGTTCTGCAATAGCCAATTATCAATAGGGAAGACTTCTTCATCCACTGAAGATATCTTCCACTGTTCTATACGAAATATTTGGCAGATATTTCTATCATCGGTCGCTGTCTATTAACTCGAATAACATCTTTTCTACATTAAATAAACATGTAAAGATGATAGTATGCTTACCCCATCCGAAAATGATGTAGTTTCTAAGATTGGAGTCTGTGTCGCTAAATAACGCCCTAAATATGAGATTGTGCAAATAAACCCCTTCCATTAATATCCACGAATAATTTGCCGTTATAAAAAATTCCCAGAGACTTGTTAATAATTTGCAACTCCAATTATTATTCTGCATGAAAAAATTGAAATAGTAGGTAACATACACTCCATTAAAATGACCTATTAGTTTGTTGTAGGGTAGACGCTATAGTAATTGGACATTTAAGAATATGTTTTCACGATTGCAAAAGAATAATTTTCAAATATACAGATATGGTAGAAATATTGTTTTGATTTAGTTGTTTATTATTCTTGTATTAGTGACTGGTATTTTCTCATTATTAGATTTACACGTTCCGAAGTCGTTTTTTAGTCGGTGCGGTTTCAATATGCCAACAAATCATGTGACTACCGGGTGAAGTTCCTTTAAAATATTTTCAGATCAAATGTAACTGCGGCCAGTGTTCATTTTCGTGAACTTCGTTATATTTTTCGACTTTTGTTATTGTTCCTTGTCCCATAAGGCCGATTTATGTTGTGAGAATCAATTTGTTGAAACTGATCCTAGACGTTTAAAGTAGTCAACTGCACCGGCATTAATGGGACAACGTCCAAATACTCCGAATCTATTTATTATTGTCTCAGGTTTGATATTGTCGGCATTTTTTTGTAGCACGACTGTAATGTTACCTTTATTTATTGATTCTTCTTGATTTTCTGTGTAAAATTATCTAACAATTAGCTATTTTTATAGGAGACAATACAGCTACATCTGTTAGTTGCAAGATGCGAGTAGTATTAGTATACAAAGCTATAATTTCTGTCTGTGGTGTACTGCATAAAAGACCCAAATTATACATTATTTGGGACTTATGACCTTTTGCAAAATGAATTCTTTTTTTAAAGTAAATAGGGATGAAAGACATTAGCGATGTATTCGTAGAACCCCTCAGCCATCATCCAGCCGTTATATATATATATATAAACGGTTTTAGTTTCTTTTTCGGCTAACACGCGACCTAGAAAGGGACAAATTCGGAACCCTGTCTCGTTGCTACTAAAAACACGAAAGGAATCATTGAATACATCATTTAAATGTTTTTCTTTAAAATGTTCGTCAACTTCGGAGAACCACCTTCAAATGTCTGCTTCTGTTACATAAGCAGTAGCCAACGAATCACCCTCGCTTTGTTTATATGTTACACTAGGGTTTCGCAGAAGAAAAAATTGAATCCACCATTACCATGATGGTCTTACATAATTTGGAAGGTATTGGGTCTTAGATTTGCTTTTAAAGGATCTTCCTCTTCTTACCATTTCTATGACCCCCTGTACTTGCTCATTTTCATTAATAAGTGGTGATGGTTCAAATCTTACGATGAGGGTATTTCAATTTAAAATGAATAGTGGATTTTGGGATATCGTATTTTCTTGTAACAACTCTAACGGACGATCCCTGTTGCTGCAGCTTTAACTTATTTTGATTATAACTTGGAGGTTTTGGCATTTCTGCTACTAAAGCTTTTGACAATTAAATAAAAGGATGTGTCCGCTTGATAACTATTTGAAGCTGAAATATGGAAAAAACAAGGATAGTCCATTCAGTAACTGAATTTACTACACCAGTGTTCCATTATTGAGCACAAGTATTTTGTTTACTACGTGTAATATAATAACCTGCCCTAACAAACCCTACTGTATTTTAGGGCTATAATTTACTAATAATGTAAACAGAAGCAACGGATTTTTAAAATGTTTTATATTACAGCCGGTATAGAATTCCTATTTTCTTAACAAAATTTTACCTGATGATGAGCACTGTAGATAAACCAACACTGAAATCACTATCTTTAGTAGGTATCTACAGTTAGCGAGAAAGTGTTATAATAGGGTTCTACTTCCCTTGTAGGTGAAAAGAGGTACATATGCTAAATATATTCTTTAGAGAATTACAGAATTTTATAGTTCAGCTATCCAATAATTACGAGGTGTCCCATTACTATGCAATTTACCCTACATAGATTTAGTAGGTAATAAGTATCAACAAAAAAAAAATAATTATACCTCTGTATCTTCATAGAAATATAGCGATCCATTCCTATATTTCATATCCGAAGCTAAACCAATCCCCTGGATAAATAAGGCATCCTTAAGTAGGGATATAAAGGCCCGAAAGATAAATGAAGCAAAAAGATGCATATGCAGTTTATTTCTGGGACAGTGTAACTTCCTTAAACATAATGAGCAATCGTAAAATTTTTTTCTGTATATTCAACACCAGCACAAGTATGTTTTAGCTCTTAATCACGGTTAATTATCAATTATTGGCTTAACGAGGTAACTATTGTTAGTAACAAAAGAAATCAGTAGCATTATAAAAGGTCGTTGTTACTGGGGTAGAACTAATTGAAAATCAATTTTATTAGCTGAAATCAAGGCGTATACTGAAAGAATGACATCCATATGTAACAAACTGAAACGAAATCAAAAAACCATTTAGTGCAGTAAACTGTAACATGAAAAACGTTCACGTGGGTGTATACTCCATTATTACGAAAAGTTACGAGAGTTCTATTCACGGGGTGTAAGGAAATAACAAAAGCTTAAGCCTCCTACAAGGTAGGTAGGAAATATACAAATGATCCCCGACATTCAATGAAGTATTCACGTCGATGATGCACGCAAAGCCATAATTATCAAAAAAGTATGGGTTGGAGAGAATAACACAGGAGTGAGAGTTTTAGATGGAACCTATCGAATCAAAAGCTTTTAAATTCTGTAGGTTACGGTATAATTAGCTACTTCATCTATAAGTTCCGCGAAATGTTTTTTTATGTTATTGAAAATAAAATCACATTGATTCAAAATCATAAATCTGCCATTAGCCTTACGTCAACTCAAACATTTCAACTTATTGCTGTAACTAAAGCGATTTGTGTTTGATTTTAAGTAAGTAATTCACTAACATTTGAAGATTCTAAGGACGATGTTTGTTCAAACGCTTTCCAGTGCTTACACTTAAAAAGGCGAGCTGTGAACCCTCACAAACATGTATTAAACCTCTCTAAGAAATTTGGCGGATTGCAACCGATTTATGTTATTGAGAATGAAAAAACCTAAGTAACATTTTTTTATCCAAATTTGTTATTAACAAAAATTGTTCAAAATTGAAACAAAAATAAAAGCGTTTTGAAAATATTTTTGTTATGTTAAGTAGGCAATAATAAATACTTTTTGTCTCTTCGTATTTTTTTTTCTATTTTTCAAAGAATGCACTTTTTTCAAGGTATAGGCGATTTAAAATCCGATAATAGCTTAAAGTCGACAACTCAGCTTCTATATGACATTCTTTAAGTTACCAAGTTTCTAAATGATCGACAATAATCACACTTTATTTTTGTATTCCTTGCAATAAGGCAGATTTTCATTTTTACCCTGAACTTTTTCTTTGAAGTTTCGCTTTTTTCTTCCGCTAAACTTTGATTTGGTGAAATAGACACTAAAATGTGATATTCATGAAAAGCGAACGTCCAGCAAATGCCAGGTGTTGAAAATAAAAGTTTCAATTACAGTTTTACCTTTGTTTTTCCACGAATTTAGAAATAATTGAGCGTAGATATCCTAAGTGTTCTGCAAGACACATAAAAGTAGTTATATCTTAATAGGTTCATAATTATAATTTTTTCTGGTTTTATTTATTTATATACGAGGGTGGATTGATAAGTTTCCGGCCTGACCAAGAAAAACAAGGTTTTTAAAATTTTTTTTTTTTTATTTCTCAACATAATCTCCTCCAAGGCTGATACATTTCTCATAGCGGTGTTCCAGTCTATTAATGCCATCTCTATAGACTGATTCGTCAAGCTCCTCAAAATAACCATTTACAGCTTCGATTACTTCTTCATTGTCCGCAAATCTCTTACCGCCAAGCCATTTTTTGAGATTAGGGAACAGAAAATAGTCACTCGGGGCTAGGTCTGGAGAGTAAGGAGGGTGCGGCATCAATTCAAACTTTAGATCGTTGATTTTAGCCGTCGCAACGATTGACGTGTGCGCTGGTGCGTTATCGTGATGAAACAAGATTTTTTTCTTCGCCAGATGAGGTCGTTTAATTTTCACCTCGTGGCTCAAACGTTGCAATAAGTCTGCGTAGTATTGACCAGTGATAGTATTACCCTTTGCAAGGTAATCAATGTATATAATACCTCTTGCATCCCAAAAAACAGTAGCCATAACCTTGTTCGCCGAAAAAATTGTTTTTGCCTTCTTTGGAGTTGGTTCCCCTGGTCCAATCCACTGTTTAGACTGTTCTTTGGTTTCAGGAGTGTAGTGGTGGACCCACGTTTCGTCAACGGTTACGAATCGACGCAAAAATTCGCTTGGATTACGCTTATACAATGACAAATTTGCGGTAGAAATGTTTTTTCGAATCAATTTTTGGTCGACTGTTAGCAAACGCGGCACCCATCTTGCACAGAGCTTTTCCATATGCAAATGTTGGTGCAAAATATGTTGCACACGTTCATATGACATCTTACAGGTCTCAGCTATCTCACGCACTTTCAATCTGCGGTCTCCCAGCACTATTTGATGAATTTTTTCGATCATATCTGGAGTTGTGACCTCAACGGGGCGTCCTGAGCGAGGCCCATCAGAGGTGCTCACACGACCCTTTTTAAACTCGGAAACCCACTGCTTAACGGTTGAATATGACGGGGAGGATGTCCCCAGTGTTGAGTCCATCTCTTTTTTAATTTCCTTCGGCGTTAACCCCTTCAAATAAAAGTATTTGATGACAGCACGATTTTCCTGCTTTTCCATTTTTACGAAAACCACAGAGGCGTCTTGTTCAGCGTGCTGTCAAACCTACACTAGCAAGGAGATCGGGCTGAAACTATAGCTACAAGCTATCCAAGGATGGTACTATAGAATGTCACCTCAAGGTAGGCCTAGTGGCGTCATCTCTTGGTTAGGCCGGAAACTTATCAATCCACCCTCGTATAAACCATAATAAATATACATTTTCTAAAATATAAATGTAATTCAAAATACGCGCGCTTTTTCTCAGGTCGCTCTCATTCATTTGCTATTGTTAGAACAAATGAAGCAATCTGTACAGCGAAAGTTTTGCGTGTATATATCTACTTCAATTCATGTAAATATTCATTTTATTCTTAATGTGCTAGTTGAAGTTTACGAAAACTATAAACCATGCCTATCGCAAAATAAACCGTTACGTATACGTACCAGGATTTTTTAACCATTTATCAATACACAATTGACCTCAGTCCAATTTAAGGTACCTAATAAAACGAGCTCGAATAAGTATATAAACCTGAAAATGTCCGCTCACATATATTACTTGAACAACAAGGGAGTAAACTTTACTTGTTAGCGATTGATATTTGTTTTTTTTTCTGTCTGGCCGAAACATTTCTACGTATTTGAAAGCTCTGTCCTTGTATTTAGCTGTTTGTAGTTCTATATGTGTAGTAATTCCGAGGTAATTGCAATATTGAAGGAAAATGGCTGTCAGTTTTCATAACTTATTTCTTATTGTTTCTAGTATCTTATTCCATATTGTTTCGATATGTCGTACCATACTTTCATACTTAAGTACACGTAATAATACGAGGTGATACATGAGATACAAAATTAGAATTGTCTTTTGTAGGCAAGTGAATTGTATGCTAGTTTATTATTAATGTAAAAGTTGTCACTTAAGAAATCAAGACAGAATGAAGGAACCTGTGGCGGGGACAGTAAAATAATTGTATGGAATTACTTGAAAAAAATAAATAAATGGATAAGCCTGTGAACGCGGAATGTACATTATGCTCTGACATACTTAAAATAAGTAAAGGTTCTGATAAAGGTTTAGCTGTACATTTGTAAACAAAGCATTGGATTGATGTTCTGAAAATAGCCAATTAAGACGTTCCAACTCTGATTCATCTCTTAAAACATCCACATCAAAAACTATATCAGCTAATATAATTTCTGAGGAAGATATACCCATGAGTAGGTGTAAAACAATTGATAGTTATTTGAAGAAAGAATATTGGATGAAAAAGATGATCTCCTGAATGGCGTGTAAAGATAGTGTGCGCCTTAATTTTATACATCACCACATTTGAGATATTCGTTTTCGAAAAGCGGATTTCAACTTCCTAATTCACCTAAAACCCCAAATTTTGCAAAACAAAAAATCACCTATTTTTGAATCTAAATGTTCAACACATAAAAAACACTTTAATTTGGGTTTGATTACAGTACATGGTTCGTGCACTGCGGAGCATACTACAAGTCTGATAAAAAATCGCTTAAAAAGCTTTGAAGTTGATTCTGATACTGATATTGATATTGTTGGCTTGAGTACTGACGGCGTAGGGGTCATGTTTAAAGTAGGTAAGCTAAACTGTACTACGCTCGTGGGTTACAGTTACTCGTAGTCGATATTTTACATAAAAAGAGAAGAAGTAACAACGCCAACAAAATCCAATGAATGAGATGCAAATGACGAAGACAGTAACAATAATGGATCTTTCTAGGGTTGAAGTAATTTGTGACCTTCCTCACAAAATACGGAAAGTGGTGAAACTGTTTAAAAGATCGCCCACTAAATACAATATCTATCTGAAAAAGTACGTAAAAGAAGATACGGGTAAAGAACTAAGCCAATTTTGGATTGTTGGAAAATTATAGATAAAAAGACTAAAAGTGTGTATCGATAAAGCTTTAATAGGTATAGAATCTGACTTAAAATTTACTGATCTTGAATGATCGAAAATAAAAGACTTGACTGACAGTTTGCAATCATTTAAATTAGCTGTAGAGACTTTATGCAAAAAGGATTCGATCCTACTAACCACTGAAACAACACTGAAATTTGGTTTAGGGAAGATACTTACTTATGACACGGTTTTAAGCACTGATTTATCCGAAGCATTACGTGCGAGAATTAAGGAACGTCGCAATGTAGTTTGTTTCCTAAGATAGTTTGTTCAAACCAAAAATTGATTATTTATTTAAAAACTTAAGTGTTAAAATATTATAAAGAATTGTTATTGTTACTGTTATTTTTGTGTTTTGCAGTGCTATTCATTGCTCATGAGATAAATTCGGTAGTCTGTCATACATTAGAATAAAACTGAATAGCATTCTCAAATAGCTAATTATTAACATTACCGTTATGTCATGTTTAATTTTATAATTTTGATTAATAATATT